GCTGAGCCAGGTAAGTACATACAGATATGCAGCCTCCAGACCTGAGCTTGTATATATGGCTGAACCAGCTCCAGTGGATAAAATGTACCACCACATCCTCATGGGTGGCTCTGGGGAGGAGTGGGGTTAGGGACAAGCCTTGAACTCTTAAGTAATTTGATTGTGGAGAAGAGTTGAATGTGTGTGGAGCAGAGGTGAATGCTGACTTCCCTGCGAATAATGCGAACAGCTGGAATGGCAGTCCTACATTTTTCAGTGTAGTCCTCATCTGTGTGGCATCTCTGTTCAGTTCCCCCTGAAATAATTTCTGACACTGAGGGGGTGTTCTAAGGGCTAACTTTTCTGCTGAGGGAGACTGGCTGATTGGGAACAGAAGGTGGAGAAAGTGGCAGTCGCTTGAAGTGGCTTTAGAGAAGTCTCCCTTTCTCTCTTGACTATGGCTCATTGCAGGGAATTAGCCAAAGCTAATGTGATGAAAGCACCCTCCCTCTGTGGTAGTAACCTGTGTGAATGTTGTGGCAAGCTGTTTCAGGCTGTTCTGCGGGTCTCTTCCAGTACCTCAAAACCAGGTAAAAATAAAGTGATTAACAGGGTCACACTTCTGCTATATGGAGTACAGATCTGGGATAGCAGTGAAGTATTGAATGGCTTAGTGCAAAAGGAACACTCACGTTTGTGAAGCAAACTTGAACTCTAAAGGCTGCAATGGGTGTTAACAATGCATAATGACAGATCTGTTAATAAGGGGGTGAAAAACCTCAAGTGAAAAAAAAAATCCCAATAAAGTAGGGCATCATTGCACTTTTGTTCTTTGTTTTTATATGTTCTGTAGCATCTCTTGTTTAACTGAATGCTTTATGTAATTATGACCTTTTTAAAAGAAACTTAAATAATATCATTTTTAAAATTAATGGAGAGTCATCACAATATATACTTTTACTGATCTGCCTCCACAAGCTCAATGTTAATGCAAAAACCATGATATTATAATTTAGTAGGTAGAGAGGCATAACTACCGGGAACTAAAGCGACACAATTTTAATTTAATGAGATTTATTATTACAGCTTGAATGATCTCAGAATAACCCTTCTAGACTTTCTGGTGAATGGGCTCTCCTCACCAACATAGGTTTTTTTCCCCCTGTTCCACTTTCTAGGAAATGACAAGCTGTATTGAAGCTTCCCTGGATGGCAGGAGCCTTCCCCTAGCTGAAGCAAAGGAGCATCTAAGAGCAATGCATTTGTTGTGTGGCTCATTTTCTGCCTCCAGTTTATTCCTACATCCCATGGTCAAAACTCTTCACTTCTGTCTAGTCAAGTCAGAATCCTGTTAGCTTCAGAAACTTAAGGCATGCTGGAAGAAATAACTGTGCTATCACCACAGTAGTCTTCCACTGGCTCTGTTGGTGCTTTGCTGATATTACTAAATTTCAGAGGATTCAGCTGGGAAGCAGAAAGCAGTGCTTTTCTTGGTTTTATGTTGTGTGGTGTAATTGAAGATTGCTGTTTCTATCTGTGACATCCATGTTTTCTGTAACAAGAAAAAATAATTTGTAAACCAAGACAATCTAAAGAAGTTCCAGTAATTCAGATACATAAACACCCAGAGCTTTTAGTTTTATTTAGTCTTTCTTCAAGCCCATGCTCATAATTCCTGAAGTGAACATGAATTATACCAGAACCAAGACTCTGCTAGTTACTCAGGCCACTACACATGGCTGGAGTCTGTCTGCGGCCAGGGATTTCCAGTGAAGGTTTATTTTTTGACTGGAAAGTAGGATTTTAATGTTCTGTTTCCTTGAAGTGGTGAGGTTTGCTGCAGGCTATTTCACCTGATTTTGTGCAATATTTACTAATTTTATGCTGTCCCTGCCATTTGGGGTCCCTCTTCCTTTGATTGAGACAGCCTCAGTGCTATCAGCCTCACAAGTTCTGTCCCTGTCCAAGATCTGTCTTGTGCTGCCACATGAATTTCAGGTTCTAGCATCATGCTGACAGCATTCAGCTCTATACCCGCTGTCATCCAGGTATGAGGGCAGGGGGTAATGGCTGGAGAGATGGATTTTAAAATACATAACTTCCTCCTCTCTGTGCTAGTCCAGATGGTCTGGGTTGCAGAAGCAGAGTTATCTCTGAATTGCTGTGATTAGATATTACAAATTAGTTGGCAGCAATACAAGCTTAAGGTCTAGCTGTTCTCCCACCCCAGGATTTTTATTTTGCCTGATCAGGGGCGGATCTCCCTGCTGTAATGCATGTAGAGACACTGAGCTTTGATGCAAAGGGTAGAAACGCCTCAGAAGGGGCAACTTGTTCTTCTTGCTGAGCTGGGATGCTTCAATTTTGTTATTGACCCATCTGGTTGTTTCTTGCGCGTGTTTACACCCTGAGCAAGTTAAATGTATTGCTTCAAAAAGTAGAAAGCTGGAGAGAACTATTGCCTGAACTGTGGGTCTAGAGAGTCCCAGCAGCGGACATGAGCAGTGTCTGCATGCACAAGCTATATGTGCCTGGCAGAGCAGAGAGCCCAGCTTCAGCATGAGGCAATGGCTCTGGCTCCTCTGGAGCTGCTGGTGGAGGAGTGTCTGATGTGCAGTGTAGTGGTGGTGGTTACACAAGGGGGTTTGAACTGTTGAGCTTTTCAAGGCTCAGGCAGGAGAACAGGGGATGGGGGGAAGAGAACAGAGGGCAGGGCAGTGGTATGGTTGGGGTGAGAAGCAGCAGCGTATTTCAGGTTTCTTTTTTCACGTGTCTGCTGAGTATTGGTTCTCTGAGAGAGAGGTGGGAGGGGGGCAAGGGATTCACTGCACGTACATTCAATGCATTGTGTGCACTCCATGTGCAGTTGGTAAAGTGCAGTGTGGCAGTGAGAAGCAGATGGGCAGGGTGAGCTGGCACTTCACAAAAATCAGATCTAAGAGGCAGCTCATAACGGAACAACCCTCTGCTTGGGATGAGTCAATGGGAACATGGCATGCACAGCTTCATTCAGTTTCCTGTCTCCATTTTGATATAGCTTAGCTAGCTCGAGGCCCTGGTCTGATGGTCCTCACCAGTGTCAGTCTTGCCCAGATCATCTTCCTTTCTGCCTTGCAGAATCATGTCAGCTAAACCCATGAGCTCATCTTGGCTAGCAGTTTCTTTAAAAAATGTTGATCATGCTGAGATTAGGCTTCTTGGGAGCTGAAATAAGGTAGTTCATTTAATTCAACTAGTGCCAAAAAGCCTACTTTTCCTACGGCTCGGAGCATCCAAGGTCAACAAAATGTGGTAATGCCACCACATCCAAGTGAAAAGAACCTTTCACTGCTCAGTTTTCTCCTTTGATAAAGTGGACTTGGGAGACATTGAGAGGATGGTAGCCACCTGTTGTGAAGGCAGCTTTGGAAGGGAAAGGTAATATTTCAATAACAGGAAATTCCTGAAAATGTCTATCTATCTACTGTGATTTACTTTTTAAGAGTTAGTATTAGTGGTGGTCAAATTTCTCTGCATTAGATATTAGAGAATGAAATTCAACTTACAGGAGAAAAAAACTGCTCCTGTGAAGTGCCTACCACACCTTCAGATGTTACATACAGTGCTGTTACTAGAAAAGTGATGTGGTGTGAAAATGAGGGGTAAATTTATGTAACAGTAGAATTAATCATACCATCTGTTCAATCTGAAATTGCAAGATGTTTGTCAAACCTAGATGAGCATGATACAGTTTTCTGATCTGAGTACTACTGCATATGAGTTGGGTGGGGGGGGTTGTTTTGGTGTTGACTTCTCTGGAGGGGCTGACACGTCTTCATTTCTGTCACACAAGAAATAGCTTTTTATTTTTTTTTAGCAAACAGAAATGATAATGTTTTTCAACAAGAATACTTGAACTGCTATCAACCCTGATATAAAATTGGTACATGTTCAACAGCAAAAATTCTGTTACAAATGTGTGAGCCAGAGCATTGGGGTGTTATTTTGTTTTCTTTTGCTTTTGGTCACATGTCACAACTGTAATATATTATTATCGCAGCATGGCCACTTTTAGACTGTGATCCTCCTTTAGGGAAAGTGTAGTTGTGTAATTAGAGAAGAACAAAAAGTGTGCTGCTTACCTTGGCAGTCTCTGTCTGAGCTTGTAGCAAGAAGACTGCTATGCATTGACAATACCTGTTTTCATGCTGTATTAGGAAAGCATTTCGCAGGCTGAAGACTGTGGAAAAATATAAGAAGTAACATAAATTGCCTCATGCAGCTGTCAGTCCAATTTTATACCACATTTGATTATGATTAAAGAAATGATATATTTAATCATAACTTCTGATTCTTAATAGGGCAATGCACCCTGACAGAGTTAGTTCATTGCTGTGTGGGAAGCTTTGTTATTTGTGCTGGTGGACGAGAAGCTGAACACGAGCAGACAATGTGCACTCACAGCCCAGAAGGCAAATAACCGTATCCTGGGCTGCATCAAGAGAAGCGTGGCCAGCAGGTAGAGGGAGGGGATTCTGCCTCTCTACTCCGCTCTCGTAAAGCCCCACCTGGGATACTGTGTCCAGTTCTGGAGCCCCCAACACAAGAAAGACATGGACCAGTTAGAACGAGTCCAGAGGAGGCCACTGGGATGATCCGAGGGCTGGAGCACCTCTCCTGTGAGGACAGGCTGAGAGAGTTGGGGCTGTTCAGCCTGGAAAAGAGAAGGCTCCAGGGAGATCTTATAGAGGCCTTCCAATACCTGAAGGGGCCTACAAGAAGCTTGGGGGGGGCCATTTTATGATAGCAGGTAGTGCTAGAACAAGGGTAATGGCTTTAAGCTGAAAGAGGGTAGGTTTAGATTAGATATTAGGAAGAAATTCCTTCCTGTGAGGGTGGCCAGACAGGTTGCCCAAGGAACTTGTGGCTGCCCCCTCCCTGGAAGTGTTCAAGGCCAGGTTGGCTGAGGCTTTGAGCAACCTGGTCTAGTGGAAGGGGTCCCTGCTGATGGCAAGGGGTTGGAACTAGATGATCTTTAAGGTCCCTTCCAATCCAAACCATTCTATGAATTCAAAAAATTAATTCTGCTGGCATTTGTTTTATTTGTAATTACTTTATCATTGTGCAGCTAAGGTGCTTTTGAGTCTAGCTGAGGATCATTAAGACAAGTTTCCATTCAAAGTGGACTAAATCATAACTAATGTTAGAGAAAAACAAATATCAAAAATTAAAGAGAAAGGCCCCATTTTTATTTTATTTCAACAGGTCTATATGCTGGCTGCCACATAAGGAAGTGGCTGCACTCTGGCTGATGGTGGCTTTGGGCTCTCCCTGGGGTGTGTGCATGAGCTGGTGCTGCTGCCCAGGGTGCCCCCAGTTCGCTTCCATCAGCAATGTCTTGGGCTGGGCATGTTGCCAACAGCTCTTTGGTTCCTCCCAAACTTCTACAGGAGAGGTTTATCAGTGACAGCAGCATCTCCTGGGTCCTGCAGATGACTTTGAGCATCATGTAGCAGGTTTCCCTGCAAGGGGACAAATCCGCACCAGCATAGCATGTCCAGAGTGAAGGGTTGGCTTAAGTCTGCTGCAAGCAAGCTTGGGGGAAGGGGAGGGGAAAGCATTTTCAGGTAGCCAAAATCCTGCGGCAGACGGCGGCCGTGCTTGGGTGGGCTGGTGGTAGCAGGGAGGGAGGCACAGCAACCTGTTACAGTGCACTGGATTCACGTGGTGCTGCTATTTTTATCTGGAGTTGACTCTGTAAACGAAGTGGTGGCAAGCAAGGTGCAGGATTGCCTCCTGGCGAGTGGTGGCCCTAAGTGGAGCCCTGCTCCTGAATCCACGCAGCCCCGAGGAGAGCGCAGACCTCCAGCTGCCAAGACAATGCAGCATTTTCCTGTCCACTACAGTTGATATATCTTTTTGATAACCTTATTTATTTCATATAGTTTCCTCTGAAGACTTGTACTATGTACAATCTCTTGTTGCTCTGTAATGCTTCTTGTCCAAGCATTTCCAAGTGCTCTACAGTCAGACCTCAAACATTTCTGGAAGATAAAGTGTCCTATAATACTAGTTTTATAGAAAAGGAAAATGGAGGCCACTTTCCTTTTCTATAAATTTAACACTGGTTAAATTATTGGGGCAAATCAGTTAGCAGCGGAAATTTGTAGCAGCAGAGGTGGCACGTTTCAGAACTCATACCTTATGTCTGTCTGTGATCAATGGGAAATACAACTTTGCAGTCCTAAAAATGTATTTTCTGGGCAGTGCTCGACATCAGGCTCTCAGTAATGTTTTCTAAAAGAAATTCTGTGGCTGTAAAGATTGCCAGTCTTCCATGTAGCAACATACAGGTGGGTCTGGCCCCTTCAAACTTAGTGTAAAGCTTTATTAGTGGAGCAATAACAAGTGACTACAAAGATTAAATCCAGAGCAGAATGTTAAAAGGAAAGTGATTTTTCTAATCAGAAAGTATGTTGCTGCTTACAGTCTTCAGAGATGGATTCCTACTATTACAGTTAAAGTTACTTCTCTTGTACAAGGTCCTGGCCTTCACAGATAGTTCTGCCTTTAGGGTAGTTTCCTGGTGTTATGAGCACACCATTATATCTCATGTCCCTTCACTGTTACATAGCAGGCTTCGGGATAGAATTACCCTGCATGATTGTCAGCTTCCTGCCTGCTGCCTAAAGAGTATTTCTATGATATTGCAGTATATATATATATTTTTCTAGTCCTTGTATTGAGGTAGGTTTCTTTCCAAAGTGAGATCAATCCTCAGCAAACTAATGGATGCAAAAGTACTTGTTACATCAAAAATCGGGGTTTCATTTTTTATTAACATGATGGATCAGTAGAAGTCACATGCTGTCCTTTCTGAGAACATGCTAACTAATCTTTTACTGCTACCAGTAGTTACAGTCTCCTTGAGACTGCAAATAAATTGGCAGCATTCCCCAAGGTCATGCATTCCTGACAATATTTAATCTTTTTTTTTTTTTTCTTCCCTGCAAAGGGACTTTTTCCATTGACACTGGAAGTTTTGCTTGTTGTTTTACACAAAATGGTGGAAATCTGAACTGCAGGCTCCTTAGTAATTTTTCTCACTGTTTTTATTGTACCCCACTCCAAGGGGTCCTGTATTGGGATGGGGCTTCCAAAGTTTTGTAAGACTGCAGGTAAGTAACGGAGACTGCCATTGGTACAGCTGAAATAAAGCTAGTAGGAATATATGGGAGAGAAGTCATGCAGTGAGGTCCAGAGTGTGGGGAAGGGCCATAACCAGTGGCCAGAGCCTGGGCTGAGGTGCAGCAGGTAACTTTGTCTGTTCTGGCTGCACCTGGGTCCCATGGATAAGAAGGTCCCCGGTTAGAATCTCTGGATGTAGGGAATGTTGTCTAGGAAAAAAAATATCCAAAAATCTTATTCCTATCTCCATTATGGCTTATATGGCCAATGTTGTATGTGCAAACTGACGGGTGGCTGCACAACCCTCTCCAGCACCCAGAGGCTGTGGGTGTTGGGCTAGGCTTAGGCAGGATGGTGGAGCTGCCCTCCCCTCCACCCTGTGGGAGAGAGGCAGACAGACGCTGCGTTTGCTTCATTTCTGCTGGCTTGATAGGGAGACTCCTTAGGCAGACAGGAAGTGCCTGGAGCATGTTTAAAGAAAGGTTATTCTTTGTGTTCGTCCCCTTACCTCATCTTTAGTAATTTGCATTCTGCTGCCTACCTTTATTTCCTATCAATCAGTATTGAAGCTGAATGTTAATTACTCTGGGTGAATATATTTCAAGGTTATAATAAATTTTATGGGCTCTAGGTTTATTTTCCACATCTGTTGATTTCCTGCAGAGTACTCTAGCTGCCTGAGCTTTTCTTCCCAGTCTTGAGATTAGGATGGCTGTCAGGCCCTGGAGCCCGGAGATTTGTATTTCTCTTATTTCTCTTTCATATAGGAGGCTCCTGGGATCAGGGCAGTGTTAGACTGAGGTGTGTGAAAGCCTGTATAAGCAGCTCCGATCACGAAGAGGCCTAAGTTTTCACACTTGCTCCTGCACCCAAGGTCTGATTTGGTAACTCCAGGGACATTGCTTTGGTAGGGTAAGGCTGGCCACTCTCTGTGGAGGTTGGTCCTCCTCCCCTCCTCACCCAAGGACACAGCAGCAGATGTTATTAGGGCAGTTTCCCCTGGCGATGCATTTGGATGTCCGAGCAAGGACGCATTGATGTATAGTGGGTGATTTCAACCCTCTCAATAGCTGGTGGGGAGATAAAGGCAGCAGCAGGAGGTAAATCCTCTCTCCAGCCTTCTCGAGAATTGCTGCTGTGCATGTGTGAGGACACCCAGGAGAGCTGTGCACTGGAGTGTCGGACAGTGAGACAACTGAAAAAATGCTGCATGACTACTACAGAACTGAAAATGTACTTAAGAAAGAGACCTGGAGTTCAACAGAGCATGTTAGGACATTTAGGGCAAGGAAATACTTGGTTCATGAGAAAGAAGTGATTGGAGTCTTGATATCTCTTTGGGGTGAATGGATAATACCTGAGAGTTGCTGGTGTGTATGTGAAAGTCACTGTCAGAGGCAGGGGGAGGTAGAGTGTAACATCTGTGTTGGCAGGTCCTGCCTGGGCAGTGAGAGCAGAGCTGTGAAGCCAAAGAGTGCTGAGGCACTGGCACTTGCACTTCAGGCAACCGAGGGTGGTTTGTGGGCAAACAGTGTCTTGTCCTTACGCTGCCACATACGCAACGCGTTGAGGTGGTGTTTATGAAGATGTTCAAATGCAAGTGGGCACATACCTGTAACGTGGACGGGGTCAACATTTTTCAGTATCAGTCTGTCTAGTGGTATGGGCTGGTCTAGAACTGTACAATATCCACCTTCTCTTATGAAGGACTGCAGCTCAGGAGTGAGGGAAGGACAGACTGGGATTAAGCTGGTGTCTGAGCCCCCGTATTTCTGGGAATAGAAAATGAAGTTGGTTAAGTGGTTGTCTGCCATCTGCTCATGAAGTATAGGCACTGAAAAGCCCTAAACTATGTGCTTTTTCTTATCAAAGGTACTCAGGCAGCTTATTTGCCTGAGGTACCTAAGAAAAACTCGTCGGTACCTGGAGCTTTCCTGAAAGGTCACACAGTCCATAGGCAGAAAACCATCAAAGGTATTAAAAAGACTTCTTTTTTCCCCTTCCCCTCCGTTTTTTAATAGCTGGACTTTTTCTCCATTCCTTGGAGGTGTGTTTCCCCATCTCCACTTGTGTACATGAAGAACACAGAATTGCTGTGACTCCAGGGGTTGCAGACCTTCACAGAAGGTTCACCAACACATGTATGTGTAGCAACCCTCAAAGAAACCTGCCTGCAGGCACCAGGTCCCTTGAATTCCTGTTCCCTTCATCCCCCCCTCTTTGCTAAGGGATGGTGTTGCTGGTTTAGAATCTCTCGGCTCTATCTCCTACAAAAACAGAACACCTACTTCTTTAAAAAAAAAAAAAAAAGGATAAAAAAAAGATACAAACTTCTTGAGATTTAGCACAGGTCCACTTAGCTTTAATTTACATCAGCTTCATAAACTTGACTAGCTAGATCTACTCTTACACTGAAATTTTAGGAGTTCCAGGTCACCCAGTGCCTTTTTCTGGTGGCTAAATACAGATGTCTATAATCTATAGAACAAACTCTGTAGCATCTTTCATAAATAAAAATTTCTTAAGAAAAGTCATTATATCTCTATTTTAAACTAGAGTTAAAATCAAGGCAAAGAGAGGACACATACAACAGGCTGTGTTGGAACTGAGAATAAAGCCAACCTTTCATCTATGTTAGTATTTCACTGTTTTCTTCCTTTTTTTTTTTTTTTTTTTTTTTTTTCCCCTGGACTGAGTCATGAGGGGAGCATTAGAAAACTTTTTGCATTCTTGAAACTTTTCTGGGCTTTGGGAGTCTAGCAAATCAGAACAAGAGCAGGAAAATATCAAGGTCTTGTAATGTAAATTCTTCCTGTCATAGTGTTCCTGTAACTTACTGAGCCTAGAAGCAGGGTTTTGGATCAGTGTTATGGTTTGTTATTAACACAAGCAAGTATCACCTGTCCTTTGTACCAATTAGTCATCTTGTATTTTTATTGTTAGATCAATCTTCCAAAGTGCATTCAAAATATTTGCTAAGCTAAAAAAAACCCATAAAACAGCAACTCTGTATATCTCTATCCATTATTACCTTTTTGTTACGTTTAATTTTGGTAATTAATAGGAAATCATCGAATAGGAAGAGGTAGATGTCAAGGAGTCTTGTGCTTTCTGAGGAGGAAAACAAGAAAATAAATTTTATAGTGTGACTATTTTAAGGCATTGCTGCTTCTACGATGAGGCACATCTATGAATCACTGCATCTTACAAAATACTTTTAACAAAGAAGCATGATTTCCAACATATAGTACACGTCTATTCATCCCCTAGCCTGCACTCTCAAATGCAGTGCTTAAAAATTATTATGTCTCTATATGATTTTGGCTACTAATACTTTTACCTTGTAGCATAATGTACCTCATTATGAAAAAACCAACTCCTTGCCTGCCAGGAAAAGTGACCCAGATCACCTGAAATACCTAAAAATACAACAATCAGCATGCTATAAATTAGCAAATCCTACACGTTTAACTGTGAACCTTCTGAAAATGGCAGAGATAAAAGAAATAGGGAAGTGACACCTTTTCCTGGTACTTTTAAATACTGGTATGCTGCCCTCTTCACAGGCTGTTGCAGCAATGAAATGTTAATAGCACCACAAAAGCCTTTCAAAATCTACACAAAATAGTGTTGGTTTATCTTTTCCTCCTAGCTTTGAGTTCATGAGGATGTGAGGAAGATAACAATGAATGTCTGTGAGAATACTTTGAAGTCTTTTAGGCTGATCTCCAAGCCATGTTGAAAACTCAGGTATTATTCTAAAAATAATAGGCAACAATTTAACAAAAGCAAGAGTAATTTTTTAAGCAACTTTTTTTTTTTTTTTAGGAAACCTGGACTCTACTGGATTTGCAGAGTTTGGTCCTTTGACCTCTTCCTTGTTTATGGCTCCTTCTATCCCATTGCATGAATCTTTCTTTCATTTCCATTTTTGATCTCAACTTGCTGTCCTATTTCATTTCCGGAATGACCTATTTTCTCTGCTGCAGTGTCATCATCTTTTCTCTGTGTAACTCCAAGATGCTTTTAGCTCCATCTGCCTTAAACCAGCCGTTAGGCAGTTGAAGACAACAGTAATATTTTCCCTGAGCCATCTCTTATTACATCTGAACAAGCCCACTTTTCTCAGCTGCTCCTATTCTCAATTACAGAATTATAAAAAACCCCATGCAACTGTGGTCTCGCTGATCTCAGTTTCATTCAGACAAGCACAGTTCACCTTAACACCAAATTTGTGTGAGTCTGTTCAGAGCGGTGACTTTAGGACATGCTGCTTTCTGTTGTGTGGCATTATATTTGACTTGTGATTTCATTTTTGTCTTGAAAGATATTTCATTCAGACAAGTGGCCAAGTGCCAGACATTTTTATATTGCAGATTGCAGGCAGCTGGCTCTTTTAGTGGGTAAGAGTTATGCTCATACCTCCTTCTCAATTTTCTAATTACGTATTGCAGAAAGAAATGTGGATGCTTGATGGCCACCCTTACCTCCCATGTTGGGGGTTGATGTCTCATCAAGGGGCAGTGAGTGCAGAGGGAAGCATTGGCAGGAGAGGACTCAGTAGCTTTCTTTCCCCTCAGCGTGCCACCCCCTTGAACATCATCAGCAACCTTTTCTTCTGCTCCCATGTCCCTGATGATGTGCTTTCTCCTCTGCTACTATAATTCTCATGTGGGAAGAAAAACAAAACCACTGAAAAATAAACCGTGTCCCTTTTGCTGCTTCCTTTATAACAGTAATACTGGTGGTGGGAGACAAAGTGTTGTGCTTATTCTCTTCATCTCTGCTCCTGAGCAGGTAGTGAAGGAAATGTAAGACATGGACTGTGCTCCTTTCTGTCAAACCATTGCTACAGCCCTGCAGCCACTGCGGCATGCAGCTTCCAGCATCCTTTCAGATGATGGTTTTCTCCAAACTGCCTATGCTCTGCTTCCTGCTTATGCAAGGTGGAAATCCTCCTCTCCTGCACAGGTAGAGATTCTGCAGCAACTTCCCAGCAAGCAGCCTGTGCCCTGATACAAAATGGTGCCTGTGTGTCTGCAGACCGGAGTCTCTGCTCTTCCAAGGTAATAGACAGCTGCGAGCAGTGTTGTAGAAATCAATGTGCTCATGTGGGACCACTGTGCTACCTGTGGAGTTAATGGTGTGTTGTGTGAGTGCTCTGTTCATAAAAGGGAAGTGACCTGGCAGGATAATACCTTCTTGTTCCAAGGTATCCATCAAAACAGCAGAGATGAAGTATGAAATAAAAATAGGAAAAAAAACTCTGGACTTTTCAGTAATTTTCAATTAAACACATAGCGGATATGGTGCCAGAGAAGTGAGGCATGTTGACATCAGTCCCCAGGCATGTGGGGCATCTTGTATAGGCCAGTCTAAACTTCTTGTTTTCCTATTGCCACGTTCTTGAACATGACAGTAAAATGCTCCCTTTGACTGGCAGGCATTGGCGAGTCAATCTGATGTCTCTAGCACCTGGAAGACTGAATATCCAGATGTGACAATAAACAGTCATGCAGATTACTCATCCTTTTGGTGGTTTGGCTGTTTTTCAGTCTCTGACAAGCTTTACATTTGCTTTTTCTTTCCTGCACCTGCCCAAATACTGTTGCAGAGATTCATTCTGGACCTGCCATAACAAAATATGGTTCTCTTAAGCTACCTGCTGATACCAGGACATTTAGGGACATTACCTGCTAGTGTTAACCTCCCTTCATGAAGGAGATGTCTGTTCGCTGAAGAAAAAATGTTTTCACTGCTGTTTTCTCTTAAGCTTTGCTTCAAACACTGGACCAAAAGAAAAGAGAGAGAGAGAGAGGCAGGCAACTAGCAGTTAAACAGAGCATACATGTGATCTTATCTCTGGCTAAATACATCACACAGCTAATAACTGAGTGTGGCTGCGTTTCTTCAGCAGTGCTATTGCTTAAATGTGTTTATGCTTTTGAAATGTTAAGCTGGGTTTTTCTTTTCTGGAGTGAGTTTAATGTTTTTTGCAACTCTGCACATGAGCAGACATAATCCTTGATGTGAGACCCTCTTGATGATGTTACCATAATGCTGCTTAAAGTCTGTCTGTATGGGTAAGGGGGTAACCACAGCAGAAAGGTGCACACACTCCCAGGTATACTGTGTAACTTTTTGTAATGCTATTTAAATGTAAATAGAAATTTATTTGGCTCAGCTTGAGGAGTGAAAGAGGCAAATAATTACTTCATATCCTTATAAAAAAAGTAGTAATACTTACATCTATTCCATTTCATTCTACCCCTAAAAGCAAACACTGGAGAATTCTCCTGGATCGTATGATCATTCTCTCTTGGGTGCTAGCAGAGAGCAACCCATGCTGCCATCCAAGGCCCTCTGCACAGCCTGTGTGTTCAGCTACAGCATTTGCAGTGCTTAGGCTGAAACTGCTCCTGTTAGAGGAGAGCTGTCCCCAGTAACTGGAATATAGACAACCAGCCAACTTTAGACCACACTATAAAGATAGATAGGAAGCTAAACCTTCCTCAAGGAAAAATGACCTTTAAAAAACTGCTTACCTCTGGGACAAAGAATCTCTTGTCACGATCCCAGACCTGAGGCCAAATTATGACCTCTTGCAGCTGCTTGAACTTCTGAAAATTGTCCAACCACTTGACTTTACCTTCCAGATCCCCTGAAATATGTGAAACATCAGTTATTGCCAAGGCTGTCAAAATCAGTCCTGCTTCTAGAAGATACTGAATACTGATTTTCTCCAGTGGAAGCCAAAGTGCTTCACATGTGAAGCCCCAAATGAAATCTTGGCCTCATTGTAAAAAATGCCTAGACTCTTCTTAGGTTGTCAGAGCCAGTATTTCAAACCATGCATTCAAACATGGTTAAATTCACTGCTAAATGAAAAGGTTATGTTTACTAATCTGACTGGGGAACAGGGAGAATCATATAAAACTCAGTTAAACTGTAATCTTAAAAAGTTCTTGAAAAAAAAAAAATCCTGCCTTTCTAAACTGTCTGGGGTAGTGAGAGAAAAATAATTTTCTTTATATAAAACCAGATCAAAAGGCTGTTGAAATTAATGAGAATTGATTTCAGGTGAAGTGGTGTCAGAAGTGACTGAAGTATTTAACTGGGATGGGGGCACCTCAGGATGTGAAAGATGGGAACTAAGTCTTTGCTGATTGTGGGCCGTTATGAGTAAAACTTTAATGGACCTGCAACTTAAATACCAAGTTTTTGTGTTGAATGAAATTGCAAATAATGGTTTCAGAAACATACACACACATGCACCAGAAGGGGAATGCTGGGACTGCAACTTTTCCTTATGTCACTGATTCACTGATCAAAACATGAAGGCAGATCTTTGTCAGGTGTCTGTGAATAAAGAGGGGTCACTTCTGTCTTTGGTTTGCTTGGCCCTATTTATTTGCCAGTAGTATTCCTCAGATACACTATGGCCTTTTGGGGCCATACCTAAAACTGCTTTCCTGACAGTAGAAGTCCCCAGACTAGTGACAAAACCATCATATTTTCCTATGGGACCTGTTCTGTGCCATAAAACTGTGCTCCTTGTGTGGCCATTGGGCTAGACTCATCATAAGACTTGGCCAGAAGAGAAAGAACATAAGTCTCTCTTTTAGGTGTTAATTCTGTCATTTAAGTATTTACCCAAGAAGAAGGAGCCCCACATTTATCTGTCTCTAGAAGACATTAACGATCTCTCTGCCTCATCTCCCAAGGAGATGTTAGATCCTTCAGCCTCCAGGACGGGAAGAAGGATGGTGGCAGAGAGCAAGCTACCATGCTGGGTGGCTCAAGGACCCAGTGTGCTGCTGTTGAGGATGAAGTACTGCCTGGCACATCTGGCTGACAGGATTGTCAGGATAAGATTTTTGCTGATGCACTGTCTTGTCTTTGATTTCAGTGTGGGCTGCATGAGGCCTTTGGGGAATAAACCCATCTACCGATGTACTTACTATATGACCGTAAGACAGAGATGAATTTATAGCTTCCTGAACAAGACTGAAGTAATAAATTATTTAGAATTAATAGATTATTTACTTAAAACAAAATGCAGGGGAAAAACAAAATATTCCTGCACCAACCCCTTCTTTTTCCACAACAGCTAGACAAAATCTGTAGCTGAGATAACTCTTTAGCTACTTTATATGGTAGGACCCTCGTTTAGTGAAAGGTCACTGACATAATATTCCCTTTGTTAGTGCAATTTTATCCTATTAAGGATTAGCCCCAACAAATCCTCCCTAAACATAAATCCAACTCAAAGGCTTCTTTGTTTGAGATCTTTCTTGATTTGTTCCAATTTGCAATCTGCTCTTAATTGTTTGCATGTCACTGCAGATGTTTCTGAGCAAATACAAGTGACTCACTGATTTGGGAGTCCTGTGACCTTGTTTAGAGAGGCTTTGAAAGCAAAAGGGCAGCACCAATCATTTCCTACAGAATGAGGAAGGGCTCAGGACTGTAGAGAGGCATGCACATGCTCATTGCATCTCTGCAGGAAGACTGGACCCCTTCACAGTCTGAGGACAAGCACAAAAAGGCCATATAACTTGCTGATAGTTAATTGCAGACTTGATTTTTAAACTTAGCTACTTACGTATCGACTTTTCCACCTTCTCTTTAAGTGACCAGATAAATCCTTTTTCTGTTTCATCAGTGCTCCTCTTCCAGATGTTGTTAAGGAGGAGGGGATAGCGTGTCAGTCGATGCAAAGGAGCGACCAGCAGCTCTGGCAGATGCAGCCTCTTGCACTGTTCATTTTGTTCACACCACTGTTGAAGATGGAAAACCTGCCTTAGGCCTCAGCTTGCTCCCTGGCAAGGAGCTAGCAAACAGTTTTCTGCATCATCAGCTGCTGTAATGAGACAGGGACTAACTAAAGATGAACTTCTCACATAGGGAAAGCAAGGGCAGCATAAAAGCTCTCTACAGGGGGAATCACATTGCTCCTCCAGATTGACTTTCTACATTGCTGCTTCCCATTTCAGATGCTGTGGTCATTTTAGCAGCTAAGGCGGTGCTCTTCTTTATCTGCCATTTTAATTTCATCAGGAAAACCTCAGTTACGTTTGAGGGACATCTTATGTTTTAGGGTCACCTGCTGCTTCCCACTGGGGAACTTTTCCTAAACATGAATGTATGAAATCCTTGTCAGGGAGCAAGCAATGTGAACATCCCAGGCCCTAAAAACTCAGAGTCTGGCTGCTACAAAGAGGTGTTCTCCTGGTTTTTGGCCGCCGTTGAAGATCACTCTTAGGTATTTACAGGATACACTGGTCTGCTAATAAGTCATAAAGAACAGAGCCTTCTTGCCGGGAGCCTCACCGCTGCGCTGGCTGAAGTTGTCACCTCGGGCAGATGTGGAAAAGACAGAACCTGCTCTAGGGCTGTAACTTTACAAAGACACCACTGATATCTCTTTCCAGCCTTAGAAGGAGGTAAATGCCCACTTACTGGTAGTGTTTTGATACCAAGTTCTACATTTGCTTTATCTATAGTTAAGCAAAACCTGTCAGAGGGGCTAAAGCACTGCTGTTGCAGAGGGGTTGCTTGCTGTTTTAGCCAGGATGTTGCTTCTTCCCTCCAGGCACATGGGTCAAAGAATACCCATGAGTGAGGAGAGCAGCCCAGCTTTCTTGCCAGGGCTCAACCAAAACCTACCCCGCTCTCTCATCCTGGGCTCCCAAGACACATGAAAGCACTGACGTGCTCCTGGCTTTCTGTTCCCTTTGTTTTGGCTTGTATCATATACCCCTTTCCTTGAGCAGAAGGAAGCCATATGCTTCTCCAGTTTTGAGGTTTGTGTATGTCATTGCTGATGTGGCATGGCACAGAGGCTGGGGGCTGTTTTGTACCCAGGGAATGCAAGCCCTCTTGTCTGCTAAAGCACATAATACCCTACACACTGTGTTCCCACCCAACACCTAGATAAAGCTGATATGCAGGATGTATATCAAAGTAAAACCCTCAAGAGAGATCTTACAAATGTGCCTTGATTTTTGTTTTTTTTTTTTTTTTTTTTTTTTTTTTTCCCTGTAACCATTTCCCTTTGTTAAGATGGAGGTCACCAAGTCAAGGGATTATGTGTGAAACATCTGAATGATAGAGGCAGGTAGTACATATTTTCTGCCTGAACAAATGCAACCAATTTTTCCTTTTTGGCTTCCTGTTCTTGCCTGTTCTATATTACAAGTATAGACTTTCACATATGCAGGGGAATATACACTCAGAAGGGTGGCTTCATATCTCTGATAACTTCTGCAGTTCAAAAAATCTGTGTAAAATGCTATCTACACAGTTTTGCTTCCAATTAACTTTCCTAGTCTACTGTTAAAATCCTGTCACAAGGCAGGAAGGCTGAGGACAACAACAACAAACCCATCACTTTACTTTCAGGTAGATGCCAAAATCTTCTCTCTGTCTCAGCTTTTCCAAGTAGACGACAGCGGAGGTATAATTAAGGCAATAAATCTGGTGTGTCTGGCAGAGGTCACCCTGGAAAAACTACAGAAAAGATTTGGAAACTTATCAAGAAAGAAAAATGTCATGACAAAGGGAGGAACAACAGTTTTGGTTTTGTAATGTGCATTTTACCTGAGATTTCCTTGTACCTAGGAAAACAGGGGAAGAGGGAAAGGCAGAGTTAAAACAATAAAAGGCAAGTTAAACAGTAGTAAAAGTGCCAGAGAAGTAAAAAAACTACAGCAGTGCTCAAACAAGGCATGGGAGCACAGTTCTAACAGTTCTGCAGAGATGTGAAGCATTGTTTGACTTTGTTCTCATTAGAAATAAATGAAGTGAAATTAATGTAGAAGCTGAAGATAAAACCCACTATCTATGCAACAGCTTTACATGGCTTCATATAACATGTCACTTTATAGCCGAGTGTGTTATACAGCTCTCAGCAATGTTGAATGCCATCCATGATGAAATTCAGTTTTGTCTGGGATTTTGTCTGTCTCACAGAAACTGTATCAATAAGAATTCCTGAAGTCAGAGGTAATGGGGGCAAGAAGCCAAGCTCTAGTCTCCCTTCCCCTTTTTAGAGTCCTAATCCTGAGGTAGGGTCTGTTTCAGTATTTTCCCAGAACTTTTCTAATGGCCTTTACTGCTAGGGAAAGCTCAGGTCCATAAATTGATTTTCTGTCTGTATTAATATTTCCAACTTTTTGGTCATTGGGAAGTTGTGCAAGAAATAGAGCCCCTGTTTACCTTGCAGCCAGCCCAAAAGGGTTGCAAGGCAGTGCTTGGCAGCAGGACAGCTGTTTCCTGCTTCTCTCTTGCTTTGCAAACCCAGGCCAAAGTGTAAGAGGTATTTCAGTCTCATTGAGAACTTAATGAAGTACTTAAATACACTTGTGGGGCTGGTCCATGGGGTAAAGGAAGGATCTATGATGTTGTGGAAGGAGGCAGGGAACATGAAGTCATGGGGCTGGGGTCTGGTCTCAGGGAAACATCTTCCATAGATTGAGAAACTCGCCTCTGCTGCTGGCAAATTCTCCTCAAGGTCTGGGCTACTGTTCTTCAGGAAGGGAAATTCTTTCCACACTTTGTTCCACATACAGGGCACCTTTCCATGACCACCTCAAACATGTCAATGAATAAAAAGAAAAACATCCTGCTGACAGGAGGTGCTTGCAGCTGAGACCAAACTGCCTGTGATAGATAGCATGTTCCTGACTGATTTGATTGCTCTACAGCACCTGCATGCTATGATAAATGGTCTACTGCAAGAACCTGTTGATATTAAGCAAGAATACTTCTAATTATGTTACCTTTCTGAGTATGGAGCTGAAATCCATAGGAGAGTCTGACTTGCTGACATGCTCCTTCACAGTTTCAGAAAAAGTTTTCAGAAAACTGAGACTTATCTAAGTAAGAGGGGAAAAAAAGAGAAAATAGAATCAGTGATCTTCTGAACTTAAGTTTAAGACAACTTTATTTCCCATCCCTGGTCTCTTCAAAGGCTCCAGGCCTGATGGGGTGCCTCTACTTGTCTCCACTACATTGCCAGAATTAGCTTCAGAACTGCGCCTTGAATGCTTTCACGAGTCAGAAGCTAAAACAAATCTATACAAATATCCACTTACATCATGACAATTCCATATGACAAAAGCTCTGAAACAAGATTACTTATTCCCTTTAAACTTGTTTTAAAGTAGCAGCTGCTTTTAACATGAATTGTCATGAAAAATTACAATGGATGAATACTGTCTGCTGGAAAACACATTGAATGTGACAGAGCTGTGGTAATTAGGAAAGTCTTCAGGGTAATTTGAAGAAGACACCATGTTTCATAGTTTGAGTTTGTTTCATGCTATTGGAGATGAGGAAAATTTCTATAAAATGCTTTAAAAAGTCACATATTCCACATAACTTTGTTATGTTTGCACTGGATTCAAGGGTGCCCACACTGTCGGTCAGATGTGGGCAAAAGTCTGCTCTGAAGCCCACACTTGCCTCCTGTCTGCACACAAACTCATAAACAGGCTCAGATTTAGGCCAAAATTTTGGCCAGAAGGGAATATCATCCTCTGTGATACTGCTATGAACTGCTGTTGCAGCTGCACACACTGCTTTGTTTGATGTATTTTTGAGGGCAGCGTTGCTTATGGGATGATGCTTATTCATTCTGAAAAGGATGCATTTTACACCTTTTACAGTGTGCATTTTTTCATGGATTCAGCCTGCTGTCAAGAAGAAATACATGCTGTAAGTTGCATGAAAAAAATACATAAAAGGCATTGAGAGCAGCTACTTTCTCTTACATTGGATCACTATATTCTACACAAGTGTGCAGCATGGATGATAATTTATCATCCTCATTAATAAGGACAACAAAATTAGAAAATAAAGCAGAAAATGTATTAAAGAACATTCTCTCAAGACATGATCAAGTTCAAAGCTTTTATTATCACTAAATGTCATACAACAATATACCTCACTCCCTTCTTTGAACAAGAATAAAGGAATCCGTGACCTCACATCAATTGAACTCTACTAGTTGGCTGCATGTATAGTCTTAGTCCACTGCCAAAGCAAGGTGAAACACATCAGCTAAAAATCTCTTTCCTTGTATCTCTAAATCTGCTCAGGTGGTCACTCACAACAGCTCACCTGCTGTGTGGTCAGTCACTGAGCAGAGGTGATATGCTCATGTGTTTGAGCTCAGCCTAATTGTCTCAACTCTGAATAGCCTTCTTGCTTTTCTTGCTTCGGCTAAAAAGGGAGATGTTAACTGTTAAGGTAAGGAAAATAAAATAAGGGAAAGAATTTGAAGTAAGAAACTGGTTTAGGACATGTGATGTGATTGTGAGCAGTCATTCAACTTATGCAGTTGAAGAGCCCCTTCCAAAATTAATTTAGCTATTAAGGGTGAGGTGTCCTGTAAAAGAGCTCTCAAGCTAAGAAAAACTTCTGTTTTGCTTCTGAAGTTATGTAAAAGCTATTTTGGACTTATGGGTTCCTTTAACTTTCAGGAGCTGAAAATGGTCTCCCAGCAACTGGCTACAAGCAGCAAAGAGCTGGAGCACATCATGACAAAGCCTTGCGGTCTCCCTCTTCCTGGAAGCTGGAGGGTAAGTAGCACATGAACACAGAGCATCCAGTCTGTGTGGGAGATACCCTTCCACCCACACCAAGAGAAACTCCAGCTGGAGAGAGGTGGTCATCATTTTGTTTTAACTTGCTCTAGTGGAATGGCATAACAGATAGCAAAGTCTTTGTGCCCATGTGTTGGCAAAAGGAAAATTGTTATTGCAGTTATTTTGCCATTCTTACTGTTTTGCTGTAAGGATTGTGCAGTCAGAGTTTATTTTCACAAATCCTTTTAAAAGGATGCTGCTTTCAAGAATTAGTCTCAAACTCGTGTTTGCTTCAGAAACAACTGCCAAATGAGCTCTCTTCTGTGTTTGGATGCTGGTTTATTTTTTGCTGGAGGCACATAAGAATAATTTGTGCTGGTGAAATTTGACCCCCACTGACATAGCAAATTGAAATGAAGGAAAGACTAATTATTTGAACTTAGTTCCAAATGTGAGTGTTGAATCTGAATAGAAGCTTTATGGATGGTTTCTCATCTGCTTTTATTGAGCTGGTTGTTTTCTGGTCTCAGTAAGATATTTATTTTTTTCACTCACCTTGTTTAACTCCGATAAGTTTGCGAAAAGTCTCCACAAATCCACTTCCAAGAGAAACTCATTACTCTGGAGGTATTTTAGAGTGTTCATAAATATCTTTTAAAACAAAACATATCTATGTTATTTACTATTTGTGCCAATTCAATATATGTCCCAAAAAGAGCATATGTGCACTGTAACTCCCATGAAATGATAATCTGATTTGGGGAGGGCAGAAGACAACACTCTCAGAAACTTTTCCTGACCTGCCTGAAGGCTAAATATTGGGCTTTCTGCAAGGAGGAGGGTATGAGTAATGTCTCTGGGATGTGTCTGTGGTTGCCACGGAGGCAGCTAACTCCCTGCTGTGTTCTCTGGCAGAAGAGGGGCAACTGAGCCCCCTGCAGATCCGTGTGAAGGAATTAATAACATCAGAGTCATAGTTACAGATTTCTATGACCTTTTCAAATGTTTTCCTTCGTACCCCATGCGTCTGCTGCTGTATAAGTCATTTAGAGTTACTATGGGGAAAAAAAATTAAAAAATTTTTGGAATAGCATAAATAGAGGGCTCACAAAGGTTTTTAATGCCTTTGGATTGTTTTATTAACATATATTGAGTGAAAACTGCATGTGTATTTATTGTATGTTTAAGATTTTATATTATTTAAGCTCTGATGCTGATATTTGAGCTGTGCTGAATCTGACCTAAATCTGAAAAAGGCTTTAAAAATGCACATTACTAAGCAGATTTTTTTTGTATATGTCTGAAAAGTATTAATGAAAAACCCCATCACCCAGGTGCCAAAACTGAAAAGCTAGTGAGAGTGTTTGCTTAGCCTTGTGTAATTCTCCAGTTGCTGTGAACGGTTGACCTGAAAGCTTAAAGGGGAATTATGGTGGTCTTAAGTTCCCTGTAGAGATTCATTAAAATCAGTGGAATATTTCTATACTGGGAAGTTCTTAGAGTAGCAGGTATCTGTAAAGCTGGCTACCCAAATTCAATGGGTTCTTTCTGTGTCAGGAGAGTTTGGGAATCTGGCATGGACTCAATGGTTTATCACTCATGGCTCACACAGGGCTCCCTAGGGCTTGTCTGTGAATTCCTACATCAGACTCACAAAGGGGTTCACATGTCTCTTGTTATCCTCATCCTTCCCAGGACTCACTTATTTTTAATCTTCTCAGATCTCTGAACAAAGAGTCTAGAAAGAAGGATGCTTCCATCTTGCCTTGGACCAATAGCTGGTCCTGTTGTCCCTTTTCCTCTCCCTTCCTGTTCTGCTGCACCAAGGAGGAAATTGGCCCCGTCCTCCATTTCTTCCCTTTAATTTGGAGGACTTCCTGTACTGCCTAGGCTAACTTTTCAGCAATGTGGAAAATAGTTCACTTTTCTGTTTTCTTATTAGTCAAAGAAAAAAGATATTGTCTGTGCAGAATAAGAGAAAAATGATAGGAAGATATCTAGGGAAGCTTCCATCCTTTTAAATAGATACACTAACTTTTGATGTGTGGTGAATGTAAATAATGTAGCTGTTCTTGTAACAGTGTGTAATATTTCAAACAGTGTGTAATACCTTGTAACAGTGTCCATATTTCAAAGCTCTTAAAATTCACCACGATGGAGACAATTTGGAGTTTTTGGGAGAGGGGATGCTTTTTAGTTTGCTTGTTTTCTTGTAGTATTAGAACTATAGTTCTGCTAAATTCTGAGGTTTTCGTGATCAAGTTAGGATAATTTAGCCACAGTTCTATATGAAATTAAATGAGGTGTATAATGTTAAAAACTACTAGTAGTGAAACATCCACTATAGTCTATTGGAAAGTAGCTTCAGTTCAGTGTTAGTAAGAAGAATAGTGGAATATCAGAGGAAATTACTGGAAGGATCTATAATCAGATTGTGTTTGCAAAGCACTGAAAGTGGTGTCCAGAGGAAGAAATGCCATCAAGAAGATAAGGGGATTATGGAAACAGGATGAGCAAGGCAAGACAGGAGGGAAAACCAAGTGCTTAATTCATTCCGCTGTAGACACCCAAGAAAGGTTACAGATGCCTTTGTCTGCTATGCTGACAGCAGGGAAAACAATGTTTCATTATTTTTGAGAAATTAAATCTGAAGTTACCATCTTGAGAACCAGCAAATGGTCCAGAAAGTAAGTGCATTCACTTGTGAAAAGTTCCCACACTGCTGCTTCTTTTTTCACTTCTAACCGGCTGTCGACATCTTTCTGCTCAGTCTGGTGCACCTTTATAAATTCATGCCAAGATTTATTCTATTGATTGAAGAAGAAAGAAAACCACCGATATTGCATCAACTGCTTCAGACTTTATGAAGAGAATCTGTGACCTATTTGCCCACGTAAAGAGCCTGGCTGCCAGTATTAGTGATTCTTCTTTTGGAAGCTTAAAGGTTCCTTTAAAAAGATTAAAACCCCTGACATTTTCCTCCAAAATACTTATATTATAAACACACTGAATTTGAAAGTAACACAGTATGATACTCTATGTTTGTAGGATGCTGTGTCAAAAACTAGTGGGCAGCTTGCAAATGCTCAGGAATTTGATCTGTTGTCCTGCTGCTGCTACTGGAAAGCAGGGATAGATGATAACTTCCCATTTTCCAGGTGGTAAAATCAAGGTACCAAGGGACTAGATCTTCATGGGTACTGGGTTATTGTTTTGTTTAGTCCTGGAGTGGCCACTATCACCTTACTTGACTTGCTCCCAAGTCAGACATTCATGTTCAGTTAAGCACTGACAGGAGTCCTTAACAACAAAGTCTATGGTTTAGTAGTGGTCTCAGCAGTGTTAGGTTTATGGTTGGATTTGATGATCTTAAAGGTCTCTTCCAACCAAAACAATTCTATAACAGCCTGCTGTGAGAAGCAAAAGGTTTGCTTTGTGGAGGGGATGGTATCAGTTGTGGGTTATCAGAATATCACCCTGGTAGCCCAAGCTTGATGCTTCTATGGCTGGAGGCCCCTGGAGGCCAGAAGCCTTGGCTAGCTGGCAAGCAGGCAGGTAGGTTTGAGTGGGTGTTCTGCAACTGAACCTTGGTGTTGGCACTGACCTCTATGTGGCTGCCTCTGAACACACCCCTAAGGCAGCAGTGGGGCTGACTGTGCCACATTTGGCATCTCTGTGATGATGCAGTTTCTTTCCCCAGGTTTGCAGGCACTGCTGAGAGGATTGGTTTGATGCCTTTTTCTGAAGGTGGTACCTCCCTGATCTAGGGTGGTCTGGAATCCTGGCAAAATCCAGGTGGTTGGGAGGCCCTTGCTAACCACCTATGATACTCACAGTTTCCCCCTTGCCCCTCCATTTCAAACAATAAAAATATATCTTATGCTTATGCATTAATTTTGCAGAAAGGTCTCATATCTAGATTAATGTAGTGAAAAATTGTAACTTGAGCATAAAATTTTTATCTTTAAGTATCCTTGGTACAATATACTGAGTATTTTGATGATACCTTAAAGCAGTAAAATTCATATGTGCTGCAGCCGATGGTCTTAATGGTTGAAAGACAGTTTTCCAGATCAGATGCTTGCTTCTGTTTGTCTTTAACCTGTTGAATGACAAAAAATCCCCTGATTCATACAATGTTTTAAAGACCAAGAAGTTTACCCAACTCAGTAACCTTGCTCTGACCTGTAAGGAGCTTGCCCTTAGCTGAGAGGTTTCCTCATATTTCCAGGCCCTCCTCCACAGAGATGAGGCAGTGATGGCAGATTTATTTGTAGCTATGGGTGGGGTGTGTAGGTGGCTTAGGTGTGGGTGTGTAAGATCTTGTTTATGTAACACTGAAGTCTTTGGCAGGACAAATCACTGGTATGGTAACAGACAATGGGCTACCCTCAGCAGACAGAACAAGTAAAATATTTTGCTTCCTTCAGCACTGTCAGAAGTAGGGGACAGTAAACTCATAGTGGAAATCATCCTCCCGCCATAGGTATACAAACCCCGCATGTTTGGGTTTTTTTATACATTTATTTTATTTTTCATTTGACCTATGTATTGAAAAAAATTCCTTTGGTCAGCTGCAGAGTAGTGTCTATAAATACGCTTTTAGAAACCTTAAAGAGCAGGAGGAGTTTGGCTATGTGAGGGATCATGAAATAAAAACAATTGCTTTTGGTTTGGCTTTGTTTTTCAGGCTGACAGTGCCATGTAAAAAGTCTAACCAATATTTATGAACTCAAATTTAGTGCTCTAAGCATAGACTTATAAGGTGTTTGCCTAAGTTTTGTCTGCTTTCTGGAACTGTATACTCATACTTCATGGATTTCTATTGTCTGAATTCTAAGCACTCAACTCCAGCCAATTTTGAAGTATGTGTTTGATTATAATATTTTAAATTCAGAGTTTAAGCTCAACTCTTGGTTTTGAAAGAGAGCTTGAAATGGAGCAGTTTCTCCATTGCTGTTTCACTAATACAATTATGTATACACACTTAACCAATGCATCAGCAAATGCATTTTAAGAAGTTAAATTTTATGGCATTTAATAGCCTCAGAAATCACTTTTAGCTAAATATCAAATGCATTTTATTGTAAATTTCAAATATTTTGCCAAATTTAAAAATTCTCAGTTTTAGGTCATGCTCCTTCAAATGCTATAGAAATGATATCAAATGAACTGGGAACTCTTCTACATGCTAATCTGAGTATTTGCATTGGTTTAACTTGCACAGTCTCTTCTTTGATAGTCAAGATTTTGAAGATGAAATGCAAAAAATGTTAGGAAGGTGCTCTTCACAGTTATGTTTAGGGTTGCAAAGATATCAAGTCACTTTCAAATTATTTTTTGAATGATGACTGACATTCGAAAAGGAAATTTGGATACCATAGTAAGTGAAAATTTTCTTAACTGGAAAAGACAAGGAAATGCGTTAGACAAGGAAATTAACTAAAGTGTATTGGTGTGTATGCTTTTACTGGAGAATATGAGGGTGCTCATAAGGACAGGAGAAACCTAGGAAAGCATCTAAAAAGCTACTTTGAAAGGTAAAGCTTAGATACATGACTGGGACTTAGGCAAATACTCCAGAGCCCTAAGGCACTAAGGTCTAAGTTGGCATGCAGAAACTAGAGGACACACTATGGTCAAAGCAATTGTGTGACTGACTTACCCACCTTGTACCCTCTTATCCCAGGGAGCTGCACTGGACCCCCTGCCACCTCTGAACACCTCAAATAAAAGCTCTCATGTTGCCCACCCTGCTCTGCCCTCCTGTTGCCAAGGGCACCTCTCCTTCCACCACCCATGAGGACAGGGGCAGCGGTGCTGGCTGTGTTTTCTTCTGCATGATGTGCAGTGGCACTGATGACTGTGCTGGAGCCATGCTGCCTTCATTGTAGATTAATGTCCAAGCAGCCCCAGGGTGGGCTGAGACCTCTTCATTCTGCTCACCAGCTGGAAGCATTTCTCCAAGGGCAATAAAGTGAATCTTTTACTTAGGTTAGTTGTGTGAAAAGGAAAGGTCAGTGCAAGGAAAAAAAAAAAGTTAAATACTTACAACTCCTCTTTTGGCAAATGGCCATCTTGGCTTTTTGGACTCTAATGGGTAAAACAAATGTGTTATCAGTAAAGAAAAAAATAGCTAAAAAGAAAACTGTTGAACTGTTATTTATTTGGGGGTTTTTTGTTTCTGTTTTTGTTGGGTTTTTTAAGATGAAGCCTGATTATACTACACTTGGCTCAGATTTAATACTTGTGTTTAGGCAGTTTGTGCACCAGACTTAAAACCCATTAAGTCTGTTGGGTTCCTCCCAGCAAGAATTATGTCTGTGATGGGATCTTGGATGATGCTAAACCCTCCCACTTGCTGCAGATGATCACTTTGTGATTGCCAACTCTTTGCATGGGAAAACACATCATACCTCAGGCCAATTCTTGAAGATAGCCATTGTTTTGAAGCAAGAATTAGGCTATATCTGTTCATTAGTGATATCTTGGAGCTAGGCAGGTATTTAAAACTCCTGCCAATAAACAATCCTACAAACACTGAGCCTCAGATCTGTCATGAGGCTAGCACAATGATGCAGGCTGTAATTCAGGGTTCTTCATGAGGCACGGGGAAAGCTAGAGATCTAGATGTAGGAATGCACTGATGAGAGGTGAGCAATGCCTGTATTTGTTCATCAAGAAATTTGAAAGAGTTTTCTAAATGTGTGTGCTTTCAGGTCTGTGTTTGATGGGGAATCATAGTTGAAATTTTCTCCTTTTAGATTTTGAAGGCCTTGGTCATTTTCTGGGGATGGCTGGCTTGTTTGCTTTCATGAAACTGCTGGTTGTGACTTTGACTTTTTTTTTTTTTTTGGGAAAATTTTAATCTCTGGTCGCCAGCATCTTCTGTTTTCTGGCAGTCACACTGCACACTATACTACACAATAAATATTTGTGGAAATTGCTTGCAAGGCTGCATTTCAGTATCGGAAGGTCTTGTGAGCAACCTCTAGCCATGAGCTGGGTCTTTTACCTTTGTGGTTAGAGCACTATCGCAAAGCATGGCCACTCTCTTCCCTTGAAGCTGTGCAGGTAGGAATTTGTAACTCAACTGATTGCAGATGGACATCCTGGCCTGGGCTCTGGTTGTTCCTGCCATGTGGAGGAGGGAGGTGATCAGTGTCCTGCCTCCCTCAACTACCTCTTATGTTTTGCATTCAACAATAGGATGCAGAAAAAAATAATTTGAGGGGAATTTTAAAATTCGTGATGCAGTCACTTTGGTGTTGGGTAACAGAATCTCCATGGTGGCTCCGCTGCCTCATGTGTCATCATTGCATTCATCCTCCCTCCCCATCCCACACACATTTTAGTTGTGGCTTTTGCTGGGCTCTGATGAGCAAACCCCACCCTGTGTCTGACCTGCATTTAGCAGCAGGGCCGTGTGGGGCAGGTAGTCCATGGCACTGTCTGACACCAGGAGGTCTCCAGGGAACACCTCAAGTCCCGGCAGACTCACTACCACGGAGCTACGCCTGCGCTCGGCTGATCTGTGAGATGCAACAACAACAACATGTCATCTCTCTCTGCTCAGGGTACAGAGAGAACTTCTGAAGTGCTCCTTACTGATACAGGAGGAAATGAGCTAAAAAACCAGATCACAACAGCTATGACATAATGTGTTAAAGGAAAAATGAGTAGAGAATTTTTGTGATTGACAACAAATATCTAATTCTCTTTCAAGCTCCACGTTGCTGCTGAGATCAAGGTGCTTAGGGCCGTGGCTTGCCTCAGATAATAGGTACTTAGAGAATTTAAATATTGGAAATTCCTGGGTTCTTCTGATATTAAGCAAAAAGAGTGGAGATTTCAGAATCTATGTTTTGGCACTGGAGTCCAATGGTGTGCTTAAAGATGATGTCCCTAGCTGATATGTAGGCTGACGTTACTCTTAACCTTTCTATAACTCAGGAGATTTGAAGAAAAGACAGTATACTGGTGAAATGGTTTAAATGTTGGCTTCTTTTTTTTAAAAAAAATAATATTTTGGCTAGTTCATGCTATTTTCTTTCTAAGTCTACGAATTCAAATATTTTGTATTTTGAATATAATATGACTTAGTGGCCCTGCTGATTGAAAACAAATGGCTCTTTCCAACTATTGTTGTTACTAATGGAGGGCATTGTCCAGGATGTAGATCCATCAAGTGAAGTGACACTGGCATTCTGTATCCAACAGTGTGTTTGTGCCAGAGGCTGCTTGCATTCAAATACAGAAATTATTGGTGCACATCAAAAACCTTTTTTGGATTTTGCTAATAAGTCACACTGATACCTAGTTAATTGTGTTAGTATACTGTTGCAAAGTGATGGGTGTCTAGCTTCTGTTCTGTTGTCTTCAACTGATTGATGCGTGAAGGCTGCATCAGATTTCAAATGGTCAGTAATTCAGTAAGTGAGGGAGGAGGCATGAGATTTCTCTCTCTATATATATTGTCTTTTTTTTTTTTTTTTTTTTATTTATTGTGTATGGTATTTTTGGTCAGTTAAATATAACTAATTACTTTTTTACCTAGGCACGTACCTTACTGTGAATATTTAGCCATTTGCCAACACCTGATGTGAAACCTGGCAGGTATATTTTTTCCCCTTAAGTGCATGAATAGTCACTTTAAAACTTATCAGCTAGCAGATGAGCTCTGAGGTAGAGAACTGGGATTTGGTATGTATAGCATGATGTGAGATTATGCTTATTATGATGATCTGACAGTGACATGGCTTGCAATTGCCTTAGCTAAACCAATTGAACTGTACAGCTGAAAGTGAAGATCTGCTTCTGACAACAGAGAGAGCTGTAGGCTATCAGGAGGGCCAGGTCTGAGACTTTAACACTTGAAACACAGGCAAGTTAGGCTTTGAAAACTAAGTGTTGAGGAGTTTATGATGTGCGATGTATGAGTTCTCTAAAAGCTTTTCTTTTTCTGGTAGTCCTGCTGATTGGGGAACATAGGATCTATTTATTTAACTTCAGGGATTTAAATTGGAACTCTGAGGTTTCTCATTAAATCAAACCTAACAGGTGGTTTGAGAGCTTTTATGTATGGGGTCTGTTTCTTGATTGCAAGCCCATACCACTGCAAGAGAGACCACTTCCTGATGACGTGCACTGAGTTCTACCCAGTGTAAGTTTTAATCATTGGTAACAGTTGTATTAAGATTCTTCTGTAACCTGTAGTCTCCACCATGGAGTCTCTTGGGCAGCTGGATTATTATATAAGCCAGATACTGCAATATAATACAAGGATAATTCTAAAAGTTGTCACTCCTGTACTGGGAAATTCAGGAGCTTTATTTCAGGTTGGATTCACAATAAAATTATCCAATGTACTATTGCTTCTTAAAGTTTCTAGACTACTTCAATTGTAGAATGTAGTTTGAAGTTGGAGGCTAATTGCTTATGAACACTAGTAATGGGAAACAGAATTTCATTGTAATTGAGTTAAACGGTATTTCTTCCCTAGATCAAAAAGGCCTTGAATTTCAGACACATACATCTAAACAAGCTCTCCACATAGGTATGCAGGCCTGTGAAGTGTGGGAGAATGCCAAGGTCACTTGGATGCGTATCTACAATATACCTTTGCAATCTGACATGCCTGGTCTGATTAATGACTCACATACCTAAATTATGTATTCGTGCTTCACAGCTGAAGGTACAGGTATCTATATTCACCTAGTCTGATGCCTGTAGACATACTAGATAAATTAGATGCTCTTGTTGGTTTTACTGGAGAAATAAAGCTACTGAAGTGTTGTGTGATGTATTTTATCAGTTTTTGAGTATGTGTATGTGATATCTTGGCATCTTTTTGTGCTGCACACCCTGCTTCGTAGCTTCGTCTTTTTCTTTAGTATTTTGTTTTTCTTAATAGAGGGAGGAGGCTGAAGTGCTTGAGTGAAATAAACATTTGTACTTCAGGGATGAACTCAAGTACCTAAGGAGACATCACCTGCAACAGTTCTTCCTTCAAATCTACTTATTTTGTGAAACAAGATAATGTCACTGGTTTGCATTACAAAGTTATGGAAAATTATTAAAGATACTGAAGCAGCTCATTGTCAGGAAAAGCAAATATCCTGGGTATACAGTTGTTTTTAGGGCATGGAGAGTTTCAACTGATTGATTTTTAGATGGCTGTATTTTGATATGTTCATAATCTTAGCCTAACTAAACTTTTTAGATGTCCCAGGGAACAGACATCTATGTAAATCACCTTACTTAAATAATAGATATGTTATTTAAAGGAATACCCACTAGATGAGAATCAAAACAACCAAAGAGGTTACAGTGGTCAACATTATGGGGTGGTCACAGTACTGAGATAGCTGCTGGGTGATGACACTCTTACCTGAGCCACTTGGGGAAGAGGGTATTTGGACTCTCTGACTCAAAAGAGTTAGCATGACGCTTTAAGGGCATATGAGATGTTAAAAGGGGAAGAGGAGCACTTCAAAATAGATGAGTCCAGCTCCTTCAACTTGTTGAAAATGAGCTGCCTTGGCAGTTACTGAGATTTCTCATTAGTTGGTTGTCTTCAGGAAATAGTGCAATCCAGTTTTGCATCCAGTCTCTGATATGGCTGAATGAGGCAAGGAGAAAACAAGCCCAGAGCGAACTAAATGCTTTGTTTTTATCAACATTTCCTTCCACTGCAGTGTTGGCTTCAGCATCTCACCCCGTCTCCACCACACACACCTCTCTATGCTGCCATTCTTGTCCTTTTTATGTATTTATTTTAGCTGATTACTTTTAATCAGCATCAGTTCAGCATGTTGCCATGCCAACAGAAATGTACTGGCATTCCTAACTGAAGGCTGCGTGGGGTAAGGCTGTTTAAAATGAGCTTTGCTGCTTTAAGGAAGGCTTTGGAAAGTACAACCTGGGAGTAGGGAGATGTTTGTTAAAGCTGAAGGATGCTTTTACCCTGGATGTGTTGGAGTTAGTGTTGGAGGAGGGTTGTCAGCTGTCCCAATGTGCTTCTAGATGGAGAGAATAATCTGACATTTCAGCAGTTTTCTCTGGCTGTGATAAGAACGGGTTAGCTGTTAAGGAGTTAGACTAATGATTTGGATAAAGGAGGAGCTGAATACAGCCCTTGTCCAGAACTTGTCCCAAATTCGACCTGACAAAAAGTTTAAAGCAGAAACTGGTGGTTTTTTGTTTTACATTTCTGCACATTCTAATATTGGTCAGGAAAAAAAAGAAAATAATAATACACGGTCCAAACATCCTTTTCTTAATCTTTCCTGCTGGTGGCTGTGAAACAAAGCTTGTGTTTCTCCCTGGGTGATTTCTTAATTTTTAAAATATGTCTGCATAGAAATCCAGAGCCACTATCTTAGCTGGCATATAGTGGTTTCCATCTGATGTTGCCAGGCAAGTGGCACCAAGATAAAGTTTGTACAGTAAATGTTCAATGTTCTCCTGTTTAGCCATTTGCATTCAGTATTCTTCAAATTCTCCCCTGAAGTTTGCTACAGATCACACAAATCTTCACCCTATCAGTGAGATATGCTTATGTACTATAGTTGAATTGGAGCAGAGCAGAATCTTCCCATAATAGGTACCTGCTTTCACACTGAGATGCAAAGATGCCTCCCTCTCCTTCTCTCTCCATCTGTATTTTAAATTCAAAATGCTAAAGAGTGGGTTGGAAATTGCAACAATTTGGGAAAATCTAGAAGGTCTCTTCCACAGTGAACTTTTGATTTCAGATGTACGCACACACATCTGTTAAGCCTTTTCTAGGGAACTGCATTGTGTAATGACTCATAGACTGTACCAGCCGGCTCCAAGCCACCCAGTCCCAAGCATGAATGTAGCTGAAACACAGACCTGTTTGTAAACCGCAGGTTATAACAGAACTTTCACCTGAAAAATGAATCCATATTGGGAAGAAGAGGAGATACAGCTCGACTAATGATGTCTACTGCCTTAAGAAATGAAACGTGTTATGGTAGAGTCACAAAAGCAGTGTACAACTGTTTGTTGTGAGGCTGCTTCTGTCTTCTCCAAGACTTGCTCAGCAGTGCTGGTGCTTTTAATATACCTCACTCACCTGCATGCCCCACCTGAAATCTTTAAGAGGATCATGCCGTAAAGTGAGCACTGCATCATCATCAGAGCCATATGGTTATTAAGGGATGTATTAGCTCCTACTTCCTTGTATGGGGAGAAAATAAACTTCATTTCCCTTTTGTAAACATTTGAACATCTTAAGGAAACAAACATGGCTGAATCAAACTCAATTCTAATCAAGCTTTTACTTTCTAATAATTGCTAGTAAGATCTTGATGCAATTCACTGCACAGATCTACAGTACACAACACCTTATCTTGCCTGCACTGATTTATAAAATTCAAGTATTCTTCTTAGTTTGTAGGATTAACAATCCCCCAACCAGTAGTAGTCTTAGATCTGCTTTGCTCACGTATGAGAATAATATCGAGCTGTTCTGCTAGCTTTTTTACTCCCTTTTCCCTCCCACAGAGTTCTGAAGAGTATTGCTCAAGATTGAGATGTTTCACATTCTTCAAGATGAAATTTGAGATTGCTAATCCAAACAGCCAGACCTTTTGGCAGTTTGTTCCTAGGCAGAGTTCTTCGATGGTCTAGCTGAAATATTGCATGAAAGATATCTAAATGTGTCAGGGAGAGGGCCACCTTTGAAACAAAAATGTCATTAAAAAGTTTAGTTTAACAAGCTGATGACAGGCATTTCACAAAGTCAACCCACAAATTAAAATTGAGTTACACATGCATGCCTTGCTGTTCACTTTTGTCTTAGAGTGAAACAGATTAATTAAAAATGTATAGAAGTGAAGTTTAGAATAAGATAAAACAAATATATGCATACCTTTGTATAGGCAATCCACTCTGAAAGAAAGTGAGATATTCTTGTTACTTGATCAGAAAACAAGGAAGCAATCTGATTTTGTGAAAAAAGTACTCATTTGTTAAGAGAAATGTACTACATAGACACTGGCTAATCTTCTTCACTTTTGTGGAGACAGGAGAACTCGCTTGATATCCAGAATATTTTCTATATTTGAAGGGGGGTAAAAATAGCTTTTGGTCTGTGGCACAAAACTACCTGGTTAGTAAAGAGCTATACACCTGTTTGACACCATCCACTTTCAGTGAAACATGTGTGTAGGTGCTTTGTATAAGGACATAGTCAAGCATGTGTCTGAATTTAACTGCTTCTGCTAGTGGATCTAGTAGAGATCTTGGAGAGTAGATCTAGTAGCAAACTTGGCTTATGCAATGCTTGTCCTTATTTCTTTGGGGTGAAGTTATGGGGGATAGCTGAACAGTAGTTTGCTGCCAGGGTAAGATGGAGGGCTAGCTCCTCCCTTGCTTTTTTCTCTTTACTGACACTCACTGGATCAGTGTTTTTTTTTTTTTTTTTTTTTTTTTTTTTTTTTCAGAAAAGATTGTACAGTTGCCTGCTCATTTATGGAGCTGAACATAAAAATAGAGGGGGCTAGTGAGTGGCAGAGCTAGGTAAGTGGAAGTAAAGAAAGGGAATAGGACCTCTCCCTTTGGTAGTAGCAAACCTTAAATTTGTCTCAACCATCTTGAATGACTTAATTCTTAGATTTGTTTGGGTTAGTAATGCTATTCAGTAAAACACAATAAGGACCCTGTAAATAAAATAATTGTCTAAACCCCAAGCTAGAACTGGATAAGTTACTTAGTCTTGTTCTTTCATAGCCCCACTAGCATACCAGAGTGAATGGACAGAGGTGGGAAAGATGGCTATGTGTAGGAGTGGATAAGACCAACCTGGTCACCAAGAGTCAAGGCTGGAACCATTGTCTATTGCTGATTTGGAGGGAAATATCTCCCTTCCTGATGAGCATAGAAGTTGGTCTGTTGTATCAAAGGAACAGGGGCCAGGTTGCAATTCAGGTTAAGAACTGTGGTTTTGTTTATGCATTGGGCCATGATGGACCAACTTGGAATATGCAAGACTGAAAAGGATGTTGTGTCATCCTGTTCCTCTTACCTGGACACCCTCCTGTGGCGTAGAGCTGGGGTGGGGGAGTCTCCTAGGCAGCGTAGCAGAGTTGGGTCTCCAAGAGTTTTGGAGTGTCTCATTAGGACTGCCATTGCTGAGAGGATTCTTTTGGCTTGATAGCTTTGATCTGGGGCTGGCAGACTCTGGGTTTGCTATACTTGCCTCAGACTTGGCTTTGGAAGACAGTAATTTTGCACGGACACCAGAAGGCAACAACAATGAGGAAGCTGTAGCACACCGAGGTGGACTCTTACAAATATATTCCTTTTGATTCCTCAGCTGAGCTGTGTCAGAGCAGTCCTCAAATGACAATGCTTGTGAGGCAGAGGCCATCCTTAGACGCCTTAAAGTTGGAGAAGTGGAAATTCTAGCCAAAGCATGCCGGTCAAACTGGAAAGGTGCATGATGGCTCCCAGTGTACTTCTCTGTGGGAAGCTTCAGAAGTGAGGACTCTGTATAACCTCGTCTTCGAATGTAGTCACCTGGAGACGTGGTGGTGTCTGTACAAACTGATACTGCCTGCATTTCACAGGGACTGGAGGCATCTTCTGAACTGCTGCTTCCAGACAAAGCAACATTTTCTTTATGAAGCTCAGCTTCCCTGTCTATAAGTTCCATGCTGATGCAGGTTTCATTGATCAGGTCTGGAAAATAATCAGAGCTTGGTCGTTACATTTCTTATTTGCAGCAGGAAGATTTATAGCTTTGTGTACCTAGGACACATGATCAGAAAAAGGTTCTTGGAAACTTGCTGTATGCATTTCTATATGGGAGGATATGCAAGTAGAAAAATATCTAAACAAAGTAATGTAGGTATGTGCACTAGTACAGAAACAATTTCCTGCACTTTGAATCCTGCTTAAATGCAGGTTTCAACAGCTTCTGGACCCTATTTCAGAAAGCTGTTTAAAGAGCCACTAACTTTAAGTGTGCAAGCAGTGTCAGCATCAGTCAGCAGAAATAATCAGATGGTAAAGACTAACTGTGTAATTTGGAACTCTGCTCATCTGGTACTGCAGCTGCCTAATTTCCTGTTGCCACTCTCCCATCAGTAAGTGAGGTTGTGATACTGCTGTACACGGAATAAAAATGAAATGACTAGCTCTCAAAACTCCCACTTGTTGCAACATTGTTTATGTGCAAATACTAATTACTTGCTGAAAGATTAAGCAAATACAGTTTCACATTTATGTAAGGTGAGTCTAATTACTTTTGCTTTTCAGCATTTTGTAGTAAACATGCATACGTTGTAATCAAATAATGAAGATGATTTATCAAAGTAACTTATCTGTTGTTTGATCAGTAAATAATCTTATGTTCTGTGATTAATGAAGCTCTATTTTAAGGTATTTTGATGACTAGTCTCTCTAAAACTGGACTGACAGTTATAACTAACTTCAAGTTATAACTGAAGATTATTCAACATTTTCGGCCTCTTTAATTCCGCTTTTTTGTTTGCTAACAGGAATCTTAAAACTGTTAATGATTGCTGGCGTCTTTGAGTACTTTGATTGATTAAAATGAGTTTACTCAAAGATAGGTTGAGGAATCTTAAAACTGTTAATGATTGCTGGCATCTTTGAGTACTTTGATTAAAATGAGTTTACTCAAAGATAGGTTGACTTTTTTATTGAGCTATGGAATATGATTTTTGTCTAGTTACATAGTTATAAAGTGATTAGAAGCAAATTATTTCAGCAAGTTTGCTAGTTCAGTGTATTGTTTTTTATAAACTTGTCAGCCATTAGAAGAAAATCTTTCAGATGTTTACAGGGAGAAAAAGCATGTCTTTATGATGGAAATGGCTTCTTTCACAACTGTAGTGAATAGCCACAAATATATTAGCACCTATTAATTCCAATTTTAATAGATAAAGGCTAATTAACACATATGCTTATTAAAATGGACAAGCACTAAAAATCACATTCAAGATATATAATGAATGACAGTAATAAGAAATAATTACTATTTTCTGCTTCTGAGCAAAGATATGATTGTATACGATTGCTGTGAGATTTGCTATTAATGCTTTTTAATTTTTCAAGACTCTTATTTTGTGAAGTGCAATCACATCTAAGCTACATAATGAAATAAAAAGACTGATTGTTGTTTGGCCAGGCATTCTCTTTTCTTTTTTCTTTTGTCTTTTTTTTTTTTTTTTTAAAATAATCACCCCTTTCCCATGCAGAATTTTGCAACTCATGCGAATAGAGTTCTGTTGCAGAAATAGAAAAGATTAAAGACAGCCTTTCATGGAAGTCTTATATTAAAAATACACTTTTTTTTTTTTTGCTTTTCCATTTACCAAGCTTTTTTTTTTTTAATAAATTGAAACTTATGAGTCTCTTTATGAGTACTTACGTTACTTCTATGAGTAGTATCTCTCAGCAGCAAAATATTTGTAAATAAAATACATTGCTAAAAAAAGTGCAGAAATATGCCACACACATGCAGAAAAATTAGTGTATATGATTAAACTTACCAAAGTAGCCAGGTGACGATTTACCAACCTGCAGTATATCACATCTCTTTCGTGTGCTATTAAATAAAATTTTCAACAAGTGCTTGATTAACTGATACAAGGTTTAGTGGTAGTGTTTTCTCATTTAAAGCCTCCTTACTGAATGCTGGTACAGGCAACTAGTTTTTCTTCTTGTAGATTTGTTTCTAGGGGATTTGTTTATCGGGTCAGACGGAAGTGGCTTCAGGATCAGTGCCTGTTCACAAAAGGTAACACGAACAATATATTTCATTAAACTTCATTACCTTTGTAATTCCTTTTTTGTACATTTCACATTGATAAAATTTGGCAAGAAAGAGCACAGTCAAGTATATAATAAGCCGCAAGAGCAGAAGAAATGTCTCCACCCCTCCAATCATCCTCTTCCCCCACCCCCCCATTTGTCTTGATTCACTCAGCTGGATCTAACTGTGCATTGTTCATCCTTCATGGAAGAAGAGTAGTGATATATCCCTTGGTTATGTCATTTGCAATCAGATTTTAATTTTAACAAGCATGCTAACTATCTGAGTAATTCTGAACACAGACAGATTTTAGCATTGGAGTGTTTGAGAATTAAACCAAACATTGATAATTCACTGTTTTGTTGTGTTACAGAACTCGTTGGAAACCATCTAAATTGGTTTAGGCATTCTTTGGTTTGGTGAACTGAAAGTGAAACTTGGGAAAAGATGGTTTATTTGGTAGGTAACTTGTGAGGAAGCACTAACACCACAAATGTTCAAATCTCTTTTGTAATTGACACACATTTTTAGAGGGCTGAATGAACACTTTGAAATGCAGACAACCTTTGCACTATGACATTTTCATTTTCTGCAAAGATTTTTTTTTTTCAGAATTAATCCACAAACCAGAACACCGTACCCCAAAACTGTTATGAGTAAATGCCTTTGATTTTGCTTAGCACTGGATGTGACTGTGGATTGAGGGAGGATTCTTTCAAGATAATTACAGAGGAAAACAAACTCAAAGACTGTTTGCAAGACTATAACAATATCTATTTCAGTATTCATCGAGTTTGGCTTCTAAGAAAAATAAATAAGTTAAAAATAAAATGTGTGTTTGCTTTAAGTAGGGGTTTTAGGAATGTAAGACTTTTTTTTTTTTTGACACCTTATGATGCTCTCAAGATGACACAAGGATCAGATGAAGTGGAACAGACTTTGTTGCCTGATGAAATATGCAAATATCTGGAGATTTTACAGTGTTCAAATCTGTCCTTTCCAACCCCACAGGAGAGTTCTAGGTGCACCGCAGCTGGGCAGGTTGGAGTGGTGAGGTTCTCCAGGAAGAAGGGCAGGTTTCTGTGGGAAGGGGACAGACAGTCAGCAAGTGAAGCCATACCCTTCCTAGGGACAAAAAACTGCCTCTGTGGTGGGGAGAGCTGAGAGCTATGCTCTCTGCTCCTGGCAGTCTTTATATTTTTGTGTGGTGCACAAGCATGCTCTTTTGCTACCTAATTTAAATCTTCTGAATGTGTTTTAAAGGTGCTACTATGATTTTTACCTCCACTTCTTATTTGAAAGTATCTAGACAGCCCTTTGCAAACACTAGTCCCCAAATTAGTACAGGGTCTACCAGATGAGACCTTACTCCTGCTCTTCAGTTCATGGAAGCCTCATCACAATCTAAATCTAAATCTAACCCCAACTTCTAAATGTCTAAACATTCAAATACTGCTATTCTGTTTGCCTATATGCAATTTGGAGGATGACAGAGATGGCTGGGCTAGGAAGAAGGCTATTGTACATTTCTTGGATACCAATACCCACACCTGGGCCTTGATAGCTGCCATGTGGGACCATTTTTGAAAGAGACAGTTGGGTAAATACTAGTAAAAAAAACAAGTTAGAGTGCTAGCCTAAGGTCAGGGATGGTGCTGACATGTAGTATTGGGAATGGTTTAGGTGGCTTTGGGCATAGCTAGGCAGAAACTTTGTTTTAAGGCCATTTATGATCAGTTAGTTCTGACTGAGACCTGGAAGGTTCTTTATGTTCGTTGGTGGTTTTTTTGGTGTGGGTTTTGTTTGGTTGACTTTTTTTTTTTAATTCTAGCTGAGACTTATCCTTAATGTGATCAGTATACTTATATTGACTTAGTAGCAGTTATATAAAAATAAGTTATTCTATTTCCTTCCCATTTGCTAGTGCTGTAAATTGAAAACTCCCTGTAACTTCCTTTACCCAGAATTAAAAATATTCTTAAAGGTTTAAACACTTCTCTGGCTTAACTGTGGATGTAGGTGAAATCATAATTGCCCTCATTTTGGCCAGAGCTCACTTGCCCTGCCTGACTTGCCTCTTAGCCCCAATTGTAATAAAGCAGGTACCGCCCTTAGTTTGGACTATGTATGTGTACTTAACTGGTTCCTGTCATCGCCTCATCTCAAGTTACATGAGTTACTACATTTCCAAACAAGTACTATCCTAGCCTCAACTATAAACTCAACTCTAGAGAAACCTTTGCCATAGTATTAATTTTGTGAAGTATAACTTTCACCCTTGGAAGCAAATGTAGCCAAATAATTTAACTGACTAAGCTCCAGTTACCTTGCATGTGCTTTCTAAAAGAAATAATTGTAATAGATTAATGGCCTCTTCTGGTCTAAATCCTAACATTCATGCTCAAATCTCAGCTTTCTGTCAACTAACTTTACTCTAAAATACACCTCCAATCTGAAGCTAAAGTTGTCTCTTGTGTGTGCATCTTTTCCTGGTAGTGTCCTTTGAGTGCAGCCAGTGCGTTGGCCTTTGCTGACCTGGACTGACCATGGACTTAGAACCAATTGCAGGGTTTGACAGGTGACTCCTTCCAAGGTTAATCTCCAGGTTAGACCTACACTGCTCTATGGATCAAGATGATTTTTCAGGTCAATGATCTCTGCTAACTTTGAACACAATCAGGTCTATCCTAAGCGTTATCTCCAGCCCCCTACTCCCCTTGTTGTTCCAGAATTACACAGATGTCCTCACTGGCCTCTGTGGTCACCTGAACTCACTTGTTACTCATGCTGCTAAGCCGCTGTGTGCTGAAACCTTATGCTTCATGTTACCTCAGTAATGTAGACTAACGGCTGCTCCAGCCAGCCCTTTTCTC